GGGGCTGCGGCAGCGCTCCGCACCCCAGCGAGTCGCGGCCGAGCCCGGCCGCACCGGGACCCCTTCCCCTCCACTCCGCGCCTGGGCCTGGGCCGCCGGCTTTTCCGGGCCGGCGGGGTCGTGGCCCTGAGGAACACGGGCGTTTGGTTTTCAGAAGCACGATCTAGAGGTGGCCGTCAAATGCATTAACAAGAAGAACCTCGCCAAATCGCAGACGCTGCTGGGGAAGGAGATCAAGATCCTAAAGGTGAGCTGGACAGGATGCTTCCGGCGGGGGAGAGGGTGGTGGTCCACCATGGTGGTGGGTCTCTGAGCTTCAGGCCCGCTCCTGAGAAACCTGGTCTTCTGTCCTAGGAATTGAAACATGAAAACATTGTGGCTTTGTACGACTTCCAGGTAAGGCCTCAGGCTGCTGTGGTGCTGGGGTTGAGGGCAGGAAGGGGCCCCTGAGGGGAGGCCTGGCAGGGTTCACGTTCCGGGGCCTGCACATTGCTTGGGTCAGGCCAGCCAAGAGACCCTTGGTAGAGGTTGGTTCTAGTCGTGTTTGCTGTGGGGGGAGGAGGCAGGGCATCTAGAGTGGAGATGGTGTCCTCGCTGGCCCCGTTCTAAGGCTTGCTGGGACCATGGGACCCCATTCTAGGCCTGGTTCTGGGCCAGAGCTTGGCTTCTTCTTGGGGTGCTGGGAGTTCTCCCACCTTCTTTGGCAGACTGACTGAGGGGTGCCTGGACCACAGGTCAGTGGGGGACTATGGGGCGGGCTGACAAGTTAACCCTCCTGGGGATGTCTGACCCAGTGGCCGTGACCCTGTGAGGCTGGTGTCCCCAGGGCAAGCCAGGGCAGCAGTGCTGCCGGCCCACCTGTCTGGGCTGGCTGTGTTTGTTGACATTGCTCTAGCTGTTCCAGCGACAGCATTGGCCAGCCTCTCCTTGCGTCAGCCTGGGGAGGGGGAGGGGCCACAGGAGATTCCTTGCTGGCAGTTGGGGCCAGGCCCGCCCAGGCCGGGCAGGAGCCGGCAGCAGGGACTGTCTGGGCCACCTCAGGCCACCAGCTGGCATCCTGCATCCAGTGGCGTGGCTCAGCCTGGGTGGGGACTGAGCACTCTGGGTGACCAGCTCAGGGACGTGGAACCTGAGGTGGCAGATCTCCGTGCCAAAGTGCTGACTAATGGTTTTGAAACCTGTTTACTGAGGCTGCGGGAGCAGCCCCTGGCCGAGGGGAACTGGGCTGGCTGGCTGTGTTTTGATGGTCTCCTCCTCTCCCGTTTCTTCCCTCGGCTCTCTTCTCCCCGTTTTGGAGCTTTCTTGGGGCCTTGGGGGCTGACGTGTGTGGAGGGCCCCAATCTGGTGTTGACGGCAGGTACCTGGAAACGGAGGCACGGGGACAGGGTGTTCTGTTGGCCAGGAGGGCACCCATTCTCCTCCGCCCACCCCTCCTTCCTCCCTCTACTTTCTCCTGCCTCCCTTCTTCCCCTCCTCCTCCCCTCCTCCTGTCCTTCCCCAAGTTGAGAAGCCTCTTGGCCAGCCCAGCTAGAACCCAGAGCAGGGAGCCTGTCACTCCATCTGGACTGGCACACACCTGGCATGACCTAGCAGGTTCCAGCAGTGATCTCGGACGCACTCTGCAGCCCTCTCTTCCCAGGGGTCAGGCAGAGGGTGGTGGCACCCGCCACCTTAGGCTTCCAGGTGACACTCCTTGCACCCTCAGCAAACCTGGGCAGGGCCCACTTTCCTCTCTGAACTATGCTTCTGCCTGCCCCGGGGAGGGACGTGCGTGGCCTCTCCCACAGTCTCTGCTCCATCCCACCTGGGCCACACACACCTGGCTGTGGGCACTGTCCACTTCCTCTTCTCAGAGGAAGTGTTCAGCAATGCCAGCTGCAGCTTCGCCGCCCAGCGGTTCGGGCTCACGGACCAGGCTTCTCTGGTTAACTCTGCTGACCCTCCGTGCCCGGGCTCGGGCGTTGTTCCCCGGTGTCCTTAAGACTTCTGAAACAGATGCAAGGGGCAGAAAAAATATGTATATACTGTTTTAAAAAATAGGTAATATACGAATGATTTGGCTAAAAAACCAAATAGTACAGAAGAAAATGCCGCAAGAAGTCATTCTTCCTTCCCGTTCTCAGAGGCTCTTTGTCAGTGGTTTCTGCATCTTTCTGGGACAGTCTTTTACAGGCGGGTGGATCTATGTATATATCGCTCCCCCACCGTACAGCACTCCCTGTTCTGCACCGTGATCTTTTCACTTAATAGTATGTCTTGGAGAAGGTCCCCGTCACCTCACGTAACAGTAAAATTATATCCGTCTCCTTCCACAAAGTTAACCTCCTCCCAAGCCTTCTTAGAGGTTACTACCTCAGAGTGCAGTGGTTAACAGCCCGGACCCTGAAGCCAGACCACCTGGTTCCAGTCCTGGCTCTGCCAGTAAAACTTGCTGTGCGTCCTTGGGCAAGTCATCAGATCTCTGTAAAATAGAGAGCGTGGAGCTGTAGTCACAGCTGACTAAGAGAAGAAGCGCTACCTGGTCATAGTGAGTGCCGCGTAAGCGTTCGCTTTTGTTGTAGTGGCCGGCCTGGTTATTTACGGTTGTGTGGTCTGCTGTTCTATTACCTGGATGGTCTGTCATCTGACTTAACCACTCCCCCTGCTGATAGGAGATGGAGTTGATTCTGGTACATCGGTGTGGTCACGACCGACCGTGATCCATCTGCGCCGTGTGTATCTGTAGATGGCCACCCCAGAATCCCTGGGTACAGGAGAGTGTGTGTGTGTTTTCCTTTTTTATTTATTCTACATTTTGTTGTTGTTGGGAACATACACAGTAGAACATGCACCAGTTCAACAGTTTCTACGTGTACAATTCAGTATTGATTACGTTCAAGTTGTAAGTTCTCACCCCCCTTTTCTGAATTGCTCCTCCCCCGTGAACATAAACTCACTGCCTCCTAAGTTTGCTGTTACCAGTTTGATCCCATATAGATAAATCTTAAAAGAGCACAATGCTCAAGGCAGACATTCTTTAAGGAGAAGTGTGTTTTTAATATGGATACCCACTGCTGGCATGTCGATTCCGACTCCCAACGACCCTGTAGGACAGAGTAGAACTGCCCCATGGGATTGCCAAGGCTGTAAATCTTTACGGAAGCAGATTGCCACATCTCTCTCCCACAGAGAGACTGGTGTGTTCGAACCGCCAACCTTTTTGGTTAGCAGCTGAGCTCTTAACCACTGCGCCACTAGGGCTCCTTTAATATGGATAGCTATTGCCAAATTGCTCTTCATGGGGTGGGCCTTGGGAGTGTCCGTTTTCATGCTTTTTGCCAGCAGGTTGATTATCAGACTTCTTCATCTTGGCACATGTGATAATGAAAAATGACATCTCTTAATTTTGTTTTTTGTTTGTGATGAGTGAGGTTCAACATCTCTTGGTATGCATTTGAATATTAAAAATACCTCCTGTCCCTGGGCACATATTTCTAGCAGGCTATTGATGTTTTTCTAGAGGGAAGATGGTACTATAGTTAATAGCATGGGCCCTGAAGCCAAACTTGCCTTTCTTTGACCTGGCTCCAGAATTTATTTACCTTTGTGATCTTAGGCAAGTTACTTAATCTCTTGGTCCTCAGTTTCCTAACTTGCAAAATGGAGATAATAATAGAACACCCGCATTGGAGGTTGTGATGACTGCTTGAGTTAATATACATTAAGTTTTTATAACCTTGCTTGTTTTGTAAAAAGGGCTATATAGGTATTACTACTATCGATTTGTACGAGCTCTTTATATATTAAGGAAAGAAGCTTTTTATTGGTGATATGCTCCAAATACTCTTCCTCGTTTGTTAAGGTTGTGCTTTTTTTTTTTTTTTTTTTTAATTGCTATAAAAAAGGGTAACTTATCAGGCCATTAGTGTGCCTGGGAGGTGGGTCCTGTGGATTGTTCTCCTTCCTGAGTCCATCACATCCATGGGATGGTGGCTGCAGCACCTGGCCTTCTCATCACGGGGTAGAGAGGACAGGCACTTGGTCTCATCCCATATGTGTTGTGGAGTGTCTAGACTTGTCTTCGCCTTAGGAGAGTGGCCGTCTCTGGAATCAGGGTATGGGCTGTGGAGCCTGGCTGCTCCCTGCTCAGAGTGCCCAGGGAGGAAGGTCTGATGTTTCCGGGCCTTGCTGACACTGACCCCTCCTGAGACCAGCACGCTGTCTAGCTAGTTCCCTGGGGCTGGGTGCCTTGCTGGGCTACCCAAACGTGACTTACCCTGGGCCCTGCAGACAGACCCAGCTTCTGTGAGTTACAGGGTGTGGAGTCCTGACTCCGCGGAGTTGTTCCCGTGCTCATGTTGGGGAGCCTTTCAGGATGGGCCGACCCCGGCTCTTGGTGAGCTCAGGACTTTGGTGCTAGCTCCTCCCTGAGGGCATGCGGGGGTGCCATGCTAGATCTGGGGGGTCTTTTCCTGGCGAGGGTATCTTTGAAACCCATTAGTGCTGGGTCTAAATCTGGGGTCTAGGAGTAGGCCTCAGGGGTCTAGGCAGTTCTGGACACTGCCTGTTTCTGTGTGTCTGTGTGTGTGCTGTCTAACTTTATGACTTTCTATTGTGAAATACAATAAATACCGAAAAGTGCAAACCACAGACTCCCAAATGCTCAGGAATGGCCCACCGCGGCCCCTGAAGCTCCATCTAGACCCTCCCTGCTCCCACTCTCCCTCCCCTAGAGGAGCCGCTCACCATGTTTGTGGCCTTTCCTCCTTGCCCGTCTCTCTGGCTGTTGTCTCCCTGCAGCCCCCGGTTTGAGATCTCTGAGGAAAGGAACCCATGGTGTCCCCGCCGCGTTGTGTTGGAGAGGCTGGGCCGCGCCGTGGGTGGCGGGATGCCAGCCAGGTCTCAGCTGTGTTGGAGCCCATCGCTCGGCGAGTCGTCCCCCAGCCTTTACGTCTGCCCCCAGTGTTGGGACGGTGGGGCAGAGCCATGTGACCATATCTTGGGCGTCTCCTGGTGGGTGCTGTGTTGCCCGTGCCCGTGCGGTAGCACCTCTGTCATGGGGCCACCTCCGAGAGGGAGGGACATGTAGATGCCCTGATTTCCAGGGAGTACCGGCTCCCACTGCCACCCGCTCCGTGCCTGCCTGCTGCCTCTCCTGAGCAGGGCGGTGCTTCCCGGGTCCTCTGAGGGGTTGTGCCACCACCCCCTCCCCTTCCCTGGTGGCAGAGCACAAGGACGGGGGGTCAGTGTTACCGCCCTGCATGCCTTTTCTTTGCGGGGGGTGGGGGTGGGGGGTTGTGCAGAGGCGGTGGTCTGCCAGCCAGCCCCAGGGAGCAGGAACACAATAGGCTCCCCAGGAAGGAGGGCGGGGCCTTCCGGCTCAGGATGGGGGTGGGAGCAGCTCTGCTTCTGGGCAGCCCTCTTCCAGCAGGCCCTGGGGACACAGGCATGGGGCCAGGAGCCTTCGGGGGAAATGGCTACAAGGTGGGCGAGCCCTTCCTTCCTGCCTAGCACCAGCTGCTCCAGGCTCACCTTGTACGTTCCCTGACCTTCCCTGGAGGCCGTCCCCAAAGAGGCGGCTTCCTTTTGCTGGAGAGTGGTGCGAGGAACCGAGATCTGGGTCCTTTGTGGTCCTGTACAAGTTGTTACAATTTTCTAAGCAAAAAGGAGCCACGAAAGATTGGTCACACACACACACACTAAACACACACACACCCTCCAACACACACACGCCAGCACCCACACCCACACGTGTGGTAGGGGTGGCTCTGTCCTGGCCATGGCTGTGGCTGGCCATCACCTGGTGCCCAGGAGGCTGGCTCAGGAAGGAGTTAATTAGGTCAGGCAGCCCCGTTCTGCCCGCCCACCAGGCCCAGGGCAGGAGGGTGGGGAGTTGGGATTGTGGGGGAAGGTGGGCGGCCTCCTACGTGCCCAGAGGCCCGTACCAGGCTGCTGGCACAGCTGCTGACGCCGGAAGCCTGGCTGAGCGGACGTGCAGCGTCTGTCCCTCTGTTGCCTGGTGTGTCTTTCCAGTGAGTCAGGGACTCCCCAAAACTGGCCCTGGGGGTATGTAGTGGTGACATTCTCCTGTGGAGGGCCTGGGAAAGCCATTTAGGTGTCCAGCCCAGCCCAGGGTGAGGGGGCCTGGGCCTGGGGCCAAGCTTGGTCCCCGCTCCCTGGAAGAGCTGTGAAACCACATCCAGCAGCCTGTGGAGCTGGAGCCTGATGCCCCTCGGGGTTCAGGGTGGGCATGCTGGGCTTCTCCCCCTGCAGGCCTGGCTGGCTCGGCTCTGGAGTGGGGAGGGCCAGCGGGCGGGGGCTGGGTCTCAAGAGGGACCCAGGTGGACAGGGTGGGATGGGGGCAGGTCCGGTGGCCTACTTGGAAAGGGTTGGGAGGGTAGGGGGCTGAGAGACGCTGACTGGAGGTGGCTTTGTGGTTTGGCCCTACCACCTCACAGGAGAGGCACCACCAGCAGGTGGTTATGGGCCTGGCCCTGGCCTCGAGGAGAGCACGGGGACTCAGGTTGAAGCTGCCCGGCCGCCCCCAGGGCCAGGTGTGCTTCTCAACCTCACTGTGAAGTGGGCTGAGTGTCAGGGCAGCTGAGTCAGCATGCACCGAAGGCTGGAGGGCTTCCCAGGACCCACTTACAGGCGGGAAATTGAGGCACCCACAGCCTGATGCCCTTATCTGTCCCCTGTGTCTCAGGCCCTGCCTGTGCCCACTGTGCCTGAGGACTCTGGGAGTGCAGTCTGAACCTGCCCCTCATTATCTCTCGCCCCAGCCAGCCTGCCCACCCACCGCCCTTGAGCTGAGAAGGCTGGGGTGGGAGCAGGGCCAGCGCTGGCTCCCAGGCACGCTGTCACCTGGGACAGGGCCAGTGAGTCCCAGGCAGGTGATGGCTCGTGGACACTCCTCCTGGGCACCAGCTCAGTGAGCTCCAGGACTGGGAGCTGGTGCAGGGCAGGTACAGGAAGGGCCTTCGTGCTCTTCAGACTGGAGAGTGGGAAGTGGGGGCGGGCTGAGGGCCTCTGCAGTGGGGACACCCAGGCTGGGCCAGCCCCACCCCAACCTGGTCCCTGCTTGGGCCCTGTGCCCAGCCCACACTGAAGGGTCCCAGGTGTCAGCCCTTCAGCTGACCCTGGAAACATGCTTCACCCCTCAGCCTGCCCCTGCCCTCCGCCGCACGGGTCTGAGGGATAGACACACAGCATCCCTGGGGCCTGGGAGGCCCATGGCCCAAGCAAGGGCCCCCTGCCTCTCCAGGTGTGGGTGGAGGGGTGGCCCCTGCATGACTGGTGGGGTGGCCTGGGCCTGGGCGGCTGGGACAGGAGGCTGTGGGGGATGTGCCCCGGGGAGACCATATCCAGGGGAGGACATGTCTGGGGGGCCTGTGACTGGTATATCCATGTGGGTGGGGGTCGTGACTTGGGCCCGTGGTGCCCCCCGCCCACTCACTGCCTCTTCTCTGTCTTCTAGGAAATGGCCAATTCCGTCTACCTGGTCATGGAGGTGAGTGCCTTGCTGTGAGGAGTGCAGGTTGGGCCTCCCCTGGGGACAAGGCACGCTGGGGGGCGGGCAGGAGGGGGCTGCCCATCACCATGTGTCCCTGGGCTTAGAAGCCACCCTGCTGCCAGCCAGAGGGACCAGGCAGGATGTTCTCCCCCTGGATCACTGCTGAGGGGTCAGCCTGGGGAAACCGGTGCCCCAGGTGCGGGGGGGGTGCAGGGTGTTAGGGGGCTGGGGTGTTGGGGGGCAGTTCCCCATGGGCTGTCTGCTCTTTTGTAGTACTGCAACGGTGGAGACCTGGCCGACTACCTGCACAGTGAGTGGACTGCGGTTGGAGTGGCCCACGTGCCTCCTGGGGGCCATCCCCCTCAGCCACTCATGGCTTAGGGACACGGCTGGGGTGGGGACACAGTCTTCACCTCAGGGCCCGTGGTCCATGGATAGACACCAAGCAAGACATAATGACTGTGGTGGGGGGAGAGGGGTGCAGGTGGTGGTGGGGGACCCGCCAGGGCCCAGGCTGGGTGACAGAGGGAGGGTTCCGGAGGAAGAACAACGAGGCCAGCATTGCAGGAGGGGAGGAGGAGGGCTGAGGGGCAGGGTGGAAGGACAGCTGAGCGAGGGGGTGGTGGTCTGGGTGCTACAGGGCCCCTCTGGTGTGGGTCAGGGCTGAGGCGGGACCAGGCAGGGCATCTGTGCCTCCCTCACAGGGCTCAGCCCCCAGCAAATGATTCTGGATGGGCATTCATTTGGGATGTGCTGATGTGGGGTCAGCCGTGGTGGTGGTGGGACACGTGGACGTGCACATACACAAGCATGCACATGAACACACACGTACATCCATGTGCATGTGCATGAACACACACGTACATCCATGTGCATGCGCATGAACACACGTACATCCATGTGCATGCGC